ACAATGAAGACTTCAGATATATCACTTTCTTTAACATTTATTTGCATTTCTTCCAAATTCTAATAATCAAAAGATTTTTATGTGTCTTTCATACTACTTAACGCTTTTTTTGGGTGGGGAGTTATAGCATATTTCCTTAATGCCAGACATTACCAGTTCGGAGTCACATTTTAAAATCTAACTTGGCCACTGCCAGGGCCTAAATTCAGTGGAATCTAATTTTTTCTTTTCTCCTGTGTTAACAAAAGAGGACCATAATATATTTAAAATTTCCCTTCACACAAACACAAGTTTTCGAGCTTCACTCACTGTGTGCAGGCTCCTTTCCCTCAAGACCATGCGAGTCCCCCACCCCAAAAAACGTGTGAGCCAAAATAATGTGTACAAGGTTTCATTATAGTTGTTGATAATGTTTCTGCCCCCCCCCTTTCTGTTGTTTCAGCTATGTGTTATTATTATTAAAAACAGTGAGAGCGAGTGAGAAATAGAGAAATTAGAAGCAAGTCAATGTCTAATTTTGTGTTATGATAAGAAATCAAAATTTACTTCAATCTCCTGAATTAGTATTCCAATAAGCAATGACTGTAATCAGAACTTTGTGAAAATTTTCTCAGAGGTATATGTCATTATGCATGTGTATAAATTAGTTCTTGTGTTAATGTTACTAACAAATTATTATAGTACACTTACTGAATTAATATGTCTGTATATTCAAGATCAGATAAAATTTCAACAGAAACTATAAAAAAATTTAATTTGGGCCCATTTGTATAAGTTGCATCTTATGAAGTTTTAAAGAGTACCCCCCTTAAAATTTATTAATAATGCATAATACAAATGCTAATACAATAACGATTGCGTTATGAAAAATTTTCTGGTACAGTGAAAGAGATATAAAAATATATATTATTATGTCATAAGCCAGACTGCAAAAAAATTAAATTTTTCATTTTTGGATTTTCATTTAAAAAAAATTGATCAACAGTATCTTCGTAAATCTAGTCATTCAAGAGTATCGTTTTCTATATTAAGCATTTCTAAAGGCCTTAACCTTTCCTACCCATCTTCTTCTTCAGGCTGTGTTTGTCATGTATCAGGAACATCTGCGAAATAGCATTTCGTGCCAAACGCACGAGACCCAATGCTTCCTAGCTCCATTTGTTTGGGTCGTCCACTTTGTTTATAAAGTCTGACAGCCCGTTAATAGAGCTCAGGAGCATACGAAGGTAAGGTCAAAGCCCACATTGTTTTTACCCCTATTTTCGTTATGAGAATTTCAAGGTCATAGCCTGTTCCTCCGATAAATGTTTTTTTAAGATGTCCCTCAATGAATATAACCATCTTGACCACCGTAAGAGACTCCCTGAAGGTACAAAACCTTCTGGTCTATCTCTTTTGGCAGTCTTCGAGTCTGTGTTCTGCTCCATTCTTTGAAATGACCTATTTTCACCATTCTCTTTGTTTTTTTTCAACTCAAATACCTTTGGCAATTATCAATTCTTTTTTTACTCAAGTACCTTTGGCACTTTTTTCTTTTAGCCCAAAGGGCATTAGCACAGAAGGGCTATTAATTTCGTTTTGGCATTTTGCGTTGATTCACTATAAATGTCGGTTCACTTTTGAAATTGTTGCCACCAAATATTATCGCTTTGCGTTATATTTAAAGAAATTAAATAATGAGGAATCTGCATCTGCTCTCAGTTGCTTTGTTATTCTTGTGTGAGTTGTTAGTTCAGCGTGAACTGATATATATCCGAGTTAGCTTTCTCTTTAGATGCGCTTTGCATTGATTGTGTTTAACATTTTTAGTAGTTTGAAGCGTAACTACTGATTGTACTGTGTGATACTTTGACACCTTTACGAATATTTCTTCAGAAAATTACAGAACTTTGTTTCTATTGATAAAATAAATTTTATTAACTTGTCAGCGGACTTGTCTGCATCCAGTCTATTACGAACCCGTACACACGCAACAATAATTTCAGTATTGTATAAAAGAGAAGCAGAAAGTACGGCAGAGTGAGAAAAAGCTTTGTTTCATCAAAATAGATGGGGGAAAAAATTAATCACGACAATACCTGTTTACCACTGTATCACTCATCCAGAAGTTCTTCGTGCACTTTCCAGAAGAAATTTTCATCAATAGGGAACTGGTGATCAAGACTGTCAACACAACTGTGGCTAAATCTCTTTAACATTGCCGATTTAAAGAGTTTTTAGTTGAAATGAAGAGGGAATATGCAAATATGCTGCTGCCTATGGAACACTGTCTTTCAAGAGGATATGTTTTAAAATATTTCGTTTCCTTATTGTTAGAAATTAAAGCATTTCTCCTTGAAGATTCCATTAATAGATTAATAATGGACGATCAGCGGGTCGAAAAATTTTATTTCACGGTAGATATTGTATCTCAATAATCTTAATCGTAAACTAGAGGGGAAAGGAAGCACAATTATTTCAATATTGGAAGAAGTCATTTAATTCGAAAACAAATTATGTATTTTTGCTCAAGATTTAGAAAGGGAAACATTAATTCATTTTTGAAGCCTGCGGACACATTGCCAATAAAATGAATAGGTAATTAATATTTACTATTTAAAAACAGCAGTTTCAAATATGAAGAAATCTTTCATACAGAATTTTCAGGAATTCAGAAAGAGCATAGCGATGTTAGCCTATGTTAAAATACTTCCAAATTCTGACATAACAGAATTGAATTTTTATGTTTAATATTGGCAACAGTGATTTTGAAATGCAGTTACTGGAGTTTAAAAAAAAAAAAAAAAAAATTATGGAGTTCCAGTGTGAACACTTAAAAGACTTATCGGACGGATCACACAAATGTACTTTTTTCCATTGTGACTTCCTAGGATGGGCCACACAGAATTACATTTTTGCTTAATTTTCAGTACGCTGGGTTAGTTTTTCATTTTATGCACATTGCGTTATTTTTTCTTAGTACCATTCGTTATAGCACTATCTGTCTGTTGATTCTACTGCGCAGTTTTGCATTTTTAGGTAGTATTTTGAAGTAATTTTGTAACTTAAAAATACACGGCAAGCACGGAAATATTTTCTGTGGAAGATGCGGAAATCTGTAAGGAAATTTACAGATAAGTTATCTGATGTAGGAAGTGATAATGAATCAGAAAAATGTAACGGAAACAAGATACTACATATGTCAGTGCTGTCTGGTTTCACTTCACAAGGGTGAATGTTTTACAAAATAATACTAGACATATTAATGAATAAATTTGTAATGTATTATAAGAAATGGTGTTGATTTAATGAAACTACAATGCTTTAAAATCATACATACATGATCATTTAACTCTCCTAAAAAATGCTCGGAAACAAGAAAGGCAGAGCAGATTCGATCCCTCTGCTAAACGTTAATGATGCGGAAAAACTGAACAAATATAAATGTGATCTTAATTCACAGCAAAAGTGGTCTGCTTTTAAAATACCTGAAGAAGGAAGTTGTAATAATTTCCAACACCTAAAATAATATTCTTGACTCATTCGTTAAAAAACTGGTGTTTGCTGTTTTTTCACTCTTTGAACCTACATATTCAAGCGAACAATCTTTTTTCAGCATGAACCTTATTAAAAGTAAATTGAGAAATCGTTTTACTGATGATAACTAAGAATCCAACTTAAAATTAAAAGCGACGTCAAAGAAACCTGACTTATTCCAAAGAGTGTGTGCCATGATTATGATTGTGCGTAGTGTTGCTCAGAAAAAAAAAAAAAAAAAAAAAAAATATTTTGTTAAAAAAACTTTTTTTTGACTACTCTTGCTTTTCCTTAAGTGTCATATTCTCCTACTTTGTGTCAGAAAAAAGAAAATTAAGAAACAAGAAACAAGTTCTGTATGAGGTCCAGATAATAGGTAATTTCGATTATTGGAAGTCTGGGTTTTGCTGATGATAACTAAGAATCCCACTTAAAATTAAAAGCGACGTCAAAGAAACCTGACTTATTCCAAAGAGTGTGTGCCATGATTAATTATGATTGTGGAGAGTGTTGCTCAGGAAAAAAAAAATAAATATTATTATTATTATTTTTTTTTTTTTTTTTTTTTTACTACTCTTGCTTTTCCTTAAGTGTCATAGTCTCCTACTTTGTGTCAAAAAAAAAAGAAAATTAAAAAACAAGAAACAAGTTCTGTATGAGGTCCAGATAATAGGTAATTTCGATTATTGGATGTCTGGGTTTTGGACTTTGTATTGTATTAGCTATGTTTTGATATTAGTAAAAACAGTGAAAGTCTGAAAATTTAGGAGCAAGTCAATGTCAAATTTTGTGTTATGATAACAAATCAAAATTTACTTCAATCTCCTGAATAGTATTCCGATAAGCAATTGTCTGTAATGAGAACTTTGTTAAAAATTTCTCAGAGGTATATGTCATTATGAATGTGTATTAGTTAGTTCTTGTGTTAACGTTACTAAAAAATTATTATAGTACCCTTACTGAATTAATTTGTCTGTATATTCAAGATCAGATAAAATTTCAACAGAGCCTATAAAAAAATTTAATTGGGGCCCATTTGTATGAGTTGCATCTTATGAAGTTTTAAAGAGTATCACTTAAAATTTATTAATAATGCATAATACGAATGCTAATGCAATGCTGATTGTATAATGAAAAATTTTCTGATACAGTGAGATATAAAAATATATATTATTATGTCATCAGCCAGACTGCAAAAAATTAAAATTTTTCATTTTTGGATTTTTTTTAAAAAAAATTATCAACAGTATCTTTGTAAATCTAGCTATTCAAAATAGAGTATCTTTTCCTATAGCAAGCATTTCGAAAAGCCTAAACTTTCCTATCCATCTTCTTCTTTAGGTTGGGTTTGTCATGTATCAGGCAATTCTGCAAAGTAGCATTTTGTGCCAAATGTGCCAGACCCGGTGCTTCCTAGCTCCATTAGTTTGGGTCATCCACTTTGCTTATAAAGTCTGGCCCCTTAGCTAAAATGGATAGGAAGCATGGAGGTAGTAAGAAGGAGAATCCCTAACCGGTTTACCCCATACACTCACTGCTTTGAAGCACTGGCGATCCCTTTGTGGTGACCAAAACATTGAGTGATTTACCATTAAGATCATTGAGTTTTGAGACGATCGGATACGTCGTAATTATACATATAAATTTATATATTTTCTTTTTCTACACTATTTGAGAGTCCTAAGTATGTGGAAAGAATACATTTTTAAATGTTAAGAGGTTATCACATGTAGACGGGATATCCTGCTAGGCAGAACTTTTCTAAGAAACGAGATTCTGGTAGCATTGGTTTAAACGGGAGGATTCCAAGAAGAAAAAGCTCCGCTGGAAGTGAAGTCCCGCCTTTATCTACGGAAACCATACGCAGGATACTTTTAAGCTTCGCCAAAATTGTATCGTCTGCACCTCTGTCCCGCATAGAGATCAACCAATCAGGGGAAAGTTCTGCTTCTGAAGGAACACGTGATCCTAATCTGAGCGATAATCGATTACTGTTTTGCGTTCAAGTCTTTATAGTAAGTAAAAATGGTAACCTGACTACGTAGATTTCGTGGAAATGTTTGCGGGTTAGAAGTGTCCCTTTCGACGTCCACTCCCGCATAGCGGAAACATATGTGCTAGGGACTTAATACTTTTCATAGAACAGTTTGCTCAGAACGGTTTAATTTGAATGAAATAGTTTCACAATGTTTCGGTAATTACATTAGAAATTTTTTCTAAAGTAATTCGATTTTATTCGGTTAAAAATTAAGATAAAAGTTTATTGTATTATTAATATGAAAATTATGCATGATTTCTTTTCAATTTATACATCTTCTTCCTAAAATTCTTTCTCAAATATGACATGATTTTTTAGCTTCTGGGGCATATTTTAAATCGAAAAATCTAATTAAATTTATAATTAATGCTCTATTCCGTCCATTTCAAATTAGAGCACCTTTTATTTTAATAGCTAAATACGTTAAATATTGGTGCTCATTTCCATTAACTTTCTCTGAATATTTCTGAAAGGGAACAAGAAAAGGGTTTTTCATATATTTATTTTAAATATTATTTTAAACTTGTAACTGCATTATAAAAATGTGAGGGAAAAATTCTATTAATTATACTTATCAGATTTTATTTATCCTTAATTTTAACAATACATATTCTAAAACTTCTTTATTATTTCCTTAAGCACGCATCTCATAGAATTTGCTTCAGAGTACCTTTTAACTGATTGCATTCCAGTACAAACAATTCTTGCTTAAATAGTTTTATAAGCATATTTGTCAACAGGATTTCAATTTATGTCTACAATTCTGTGTTAAGGTTATTATATATTTAGATAATAATTATAATCATTATAAATTTAGATACATTAGATTATATAATAGTGGACACCCAATGACGGCAGAATATTTGGACGAGTGTGAAGCACTGACAAATTTTTCTTGTAGATTTCAGCGCTATTGGCGAGCAAGGAGTTTAATGGCCTAATGGCCAATGTAACTGGCATTTGACAAATAAATAATTAGATTTCTTCACTGCAACTTTCACAGGAGATTAGGAATTAATAAATACTTCATTTCAAATATATTTATAAATAATTTAATAAAATTCATGTATTTTTTAAAAAGCAGATACATGCTTTTTGCATGCATAAATACCCATTCATATTTCATATTTTTCATTTCAGGCATGTGCAAATCTTAAATTTCTGTGCATTCGCTATATTTTTCGAGTAAAGTAATTTATTATAATTTAGCATATACCCGACATTTTTACATAAGAAATATGTATAAGTATAATTTGAATGAGAATTATATGCATTATTTTTAATACCCACTCAAAGATTAGTTTTTCCTCGAAATACTCCACGATGGCATCTCTTCCTTTAGGCACATAGCCCATGCTTTGCCAAAATAAATAAATGCTTTACTCTATTTAATAAAAACGTAACTTGACCTATGTACTAATTACAAATATTTTAACATGCATACTTTTATATTTGCATTTAGCCATCAAGTTTTAAACTTTTGACTTAAAACACGTTTTAGGATACATTCATCATCAAATTCAAAGCTTCTGATAAATATATTTTGTCAGAGTACTCAGTACTTCTTTTAGCATTTTTACCCAGTTTAATAACTCTCTGATAATATAATAATTAGTAACTATCCATTTCATAATTAAACATTAATCACATTGTCATCAGATCGCAGTTTTGATTGCCTTGCTGTGTATAATATTGCTTCACTAGCCGTATTCGCAAATGTATCCATCTTCTGTTCCACGCGTTTGTGTAAAACTGTATAATTTTACACAGAAGTGTGCTTACAAATCAAGGAAAAGTTAACTTGATGTATCTATGTGTATATTTATTAATTTTGATGAGGATTGGTGGTAATTTTACTTTTTAATTAACCCAATTAAGTAAAAAGTATAAACCCAAAGTGATTATTTTTCAGCTATATAAAAATAAAATGATGAGTTTAATATGAATGATGAATGATGAATAAATGATGAGATAAGTTTAAAATGAGCAACAATAAAGCTTCTCCTCTAAAAATTTTTAAAAGGTACGTACATGTTACAATAATATGTGGATAACCGAAAAAATTTATTTTATTTAAAACATTTTGGTGTTTGGAACATGGAATAAAAGTAGCGAATAGTCAATCAAGGGCATTAAATGATGTATACAATTTTAAAGGTACCGTAAGGTATTTTTCATTCTTTAAGCATAATATTTTTGCTAAAATCTGTATTTCTATATTTTCGTACTTCAACAGCTTAAAATTTTATAAAACAAATTCATAATCAAAATCGCTGTTGTTAGTTATTGAAAAATAACCAAGGTGTGATTTTTGCATAAATTTCACTAAACTGTACAAATTGCTAATAACCATCACACGATGAATATTTCTTTTATGCGGAAGTGTCCTGCTTTTTGATTTGTATGGAACTGTCATGTGTCAAAATCAAGGAGCGCTTTGATAGTATTTCAAGCAGGGAGGTTATCCTTGCTCGAAATGCTATCAAAGTACTGTCAAGAGAGCTTCTAAAAGTAAACAAAAAACACCTCATCTGGAGACCGAACAAGGCCAACTAACTATACAACTAGATAGATCTATCTAGTAGATATCTAGTTGGCTTTGGGCCGAAGCCTCATAGCAGTGCTTCACTTGAAGTGCGGGGTTGGCCCCTCCTTACTTTCTTACCTCCATGCTAGGAAGATAGGGACAAAGCCCATATTGTTTTATTCTCTTATTTTATTCGTTATCAGAAGTTCAAGGTCAGTACCCTGTTCCTCCGATAAATGGTTTTCAAGGAGTTCCCTCAATGAATATAACGAACACCTTCTTAAACAGGTTAAGAGAGCGTTGGTATAACCATCTTGACCACAATAAGAGACTCCCTCTTCGCATCTGTATTTTGCTCCATCCTTTGAAATTGCCTATTTTCAGCTTTCCCATTGGGTTTTTCAACCGAAGTAGCTTTGGCTTCAACAATTTCAAAGTGAGGAATAGCAACAATATACGGGCGGGGGGGGGGAGATTATCTCCAGTGTGCGAGACTGTGTATCGCAAATTGAGACGTGCTCTGGCTGCAGCAGCACACCTTGAACTTGCCACATTTCCTTGTTCCAACCATCATCGCCATAGCTGATGCACTGTGGACGCATCTAAGTGTGTGTCAGCTGAGATTTGTCATATGAACTAACCTGCCAACCTTGGTTCAGTCACTATGCCCCTTGTAAAATCATATGTTTGCTGGAACTGTCTCCATTGACAACAGCGTGGCATTTTACTGCTATTACATGCATCCTCTAAGACAAGAACAAATTTTCTGTGATGATTCCCATAGCAGAAATAACCATATGAAAATTGAAAATTCTGCAGGTTTCTTCCGTAATATAGGATGTGGCAACGTTCATAGTAGGATATTAAAAGCACACCATAAGGCAGTGACTGTAATTTATTTATTACCTCTTATGTCAATTAATAGTTAATGGTATGCCATTTACTAATGTGTAAGTCATTGTCCATTGCGTGGATTACTTTTTGAATATCATGCCCCCTCTGCACAACACATTCATCTAGGCATTGTTGGTAAGCTTGCCATAACTCGGCGTAACGTATTTCCTGGGACATTGCCGACGGCAGTTCGGATGCGGTCCTTTAACTCATTAATGGTGGCACAACGTGTTCAGAAAACTTCTTGCTTCAGGTGCTCCCAAAGTAGGCACATGAAAGATCAGGTGAGTGAGGCGGCCAGGAAATGTCTGTCGCAATGGCCCGTCTATCCGGAACTTTCTCATAACGTCCCAATTTGAAATGTTGCCGAAATAGACGCTGTGTAGCAACAACAGAGTAATTATTCTTGAAATAACTTTCAATAGCAAAGGCATGATGCTGTGCATTCCAACGATCCATATCACTGTCACACTCGAAATGGCAGCTCATTAGTACTCGAATGCGGCATGAGCTGGCACGCATTCATGCAGTATGTCATTGTGCTACACAAGTCAAATTACGCTATGAACGCTGCCACACTCTATATATTTTTCCTGGTGCGCTGGAAAGCTATGCATTTAACATCATTTGCATAACTTGGATGACCTGAAATTTGCATAATTTTCGGGCCACCCCTTCTTGGTGTTGCAATTTTAATGTCAGGTAGTATATTAGAGCCCTGCATTATATTTAAAGAAATTAAATAGTGAAGAATCTGCATGAATGTATGTAGGTTCCTCTCATTATGAAAAAACAACGGTACCTAGAGACATCAAATTCGAATAACGTAGTCCTCCACTCGAATATAAGCATCTGGAAGGCCAAATTTGGAATTTTTTTTTTATCTATTTCATGTTTTGTAAAACTTTAACGAATTTTTCATTAACAAACTCGATGATTTCAAAGCGGTTCCATGATCGTTATCATCGCTTGAATCTTCAAGTATCTTATGCACAAGTTTGTTTATATATATATATATGGTTTAAATGTGAAGAACATGATATTTAATAAATAAAGGCGACGCACAAAACGCTTAAAAAAATTCCTCTTTGGGCATAATATAAAATTCGAAAGCTTTCGAATATTTATCCTTTTTTAAATTTATTTTTGATGTATGTATTACTTACTTGCAGGCTGAAAAGCTGTGGGGAGGTAGATTCAATGAGCAATTAAGTCCAGTGATGGAGTTATTCAATTCTTCCATAACTTTTGATAAACATTTATGGGATGTTGATATCAAAGTAAGATTTTCTTTTCAAAAAAATTTTCTGTTTTTGTGTGTTCTACTCCTTTGTAATATTTTAAGCATGTTTATAGTGTATAGGAAGTAACTGCATTACAAGAATATTTATTTCAAAAAAGGAAAAAGTATGGAAAATTGTATAATACGATACAGAATGTTGACAGTGTTGCTTATGATATGGAAATTTGTTTTAGTTTGTTTAGAGTCTGTATTGCTCCCTCTGTCCAAAAATATGATATATATTTATAATTTATTTTTGTCCAAAATTATGGTATACATTTAGAACTGTAATCAATACTAAGTAAATTTTGCATGTATAAATGAAGTGCAATTGATGCAGGACCTAGCTGTTTCCAGGGCCTCTTGTAAACACACTAATGTAGCTGTTAAACAAAGCTATTATAAGTAGATCTAACTTTTAACCAAAGCTAAGTAAGTTCCTTAACTTTGTTTTTAACTTTTCGGAATAACCCTTGTATTTCCATTCATATTCCCTCCTCCTTTTTTGGTGTGGGAGAAGGAATGTCAGCATGAATTTTATTTTCATCATTGTGTTTTTTAGTCACTTGTCAAATTCTAAACATAATCAAATGTATTAATCCAAACTCACCTCCAACTTTCTGTATGCATCCTTGCATCAGCTTCTGGCTTTCTTGCAACCGCAGCAACTTTTTAATATACCATTACAATGTTGAGCAGTTAATTTCTTGAACTTGGAAGTCTTTCTCAACACTTCCTTGTTTGCATGAATATTTTGCAGTTTGTGTCCTGCATGAAAATAACACTAGGAATGTTCATCAACAGTACTCACTCAATATAGCAAATACCAAGCCGCTGAGATCTGCTGGAGCACGTCTTCATTGCAGACAAATATTGTGGTGAGTGTTACAAGATGTTTTGAGAGCAAAAAAATTTTTCCCTTTCAGACCTCCTCATTTTTGATGTTGTCGGATCCTGCATTATAACATTCCAATTCTTCAACATAATTTTGTTGATGTTTTTTTATATAGACAAAATCAAATACCTACTAATTTTGTCTCAGTTGTTTGACTAGTGTATGAATTTACTCAGGACATTTGATAATAATTTCTTTACTTATGGTTCATTGATCTGCACAACTTTTTCAAATGCATATCATATTTTTGGATGGAAGTTGCACTTGTTTTTTAAAATTTTAGTTTCAAAGATTTTTAAAAAATGTTTACTTTTATGATTAAAAATAGTCATGCTTTTAAAAAAATTCATGTATAAAATGATGTGTGACTAGATGTATGCTTTAGCATTTAAAGAATTTATAAACACATATTTCCAATAAAGTTTGTAAATGTTTCTCATTATTAGTACTTGCAATTCAGATTTATTAAAATATATGAGTATATATCACTTAAAAAATATATCTGATTGCAAGTTAAAATTATGATACATAGGAAACTAGATGAAGATTGAACCTCTGTTATTTGAATACGTGAGTTTCAAGGTCAAAATGTAAATCAATGTTTCAGAAAGAAGTTCATATATTTTCTGGTATGATGGCTACATATTCTTGAAATCTAATAAAAAATATGTGCTATGTCCTGGAATCAAATAAAGGAAAGGTAATAATGAAACTGTTCAACGTAATGTTATAGAGTCATTAGGTTATATCTAGGCTGGAATGTGAAAAATGTGCAGTTCCCTCACTGGGATTCAAATTCCGGCCATCGTGAATACACATTGAGCATGCTTTCTTATTACACCACATAGCATGCAGAAAGGAAGAAAATACTTTATATACTTCCCCCTTTTAAAGAGCAATTGGGGATGAAGGGCTCAGTCACCAAATCATGGTGAGGACGAATTATTGTCCGCCACCTTTTTTTAGTTCAGGCACCACTGTTGGGTCACTAGGTTATATCGATATCAAGAAACATGAAAAATGTGCATTGCCTTACCCTAGATTTGAACTCCTGACCTTTCAGATATGCATTGAACAAGCTTCCAGTTATACCACAAAGGCAGGAGGAAGGGAGGGAGAAAATACGTTATAATGTTGAAGACAGGAATAGAGAGCAAATAGCATGAAGAAAGCTAAAAGAAATTTAAATTAGAATGAATATAAAATTCTAATTAATAAATGTGAATGCAAACACAGTATAAAATTTTTTAAATGATAAGATACTTTATTCAAGAGAAGCAAGAAAGTTGGGGGAATAAAAATGTTTATCCAGATGGCATTAAATATCAAAGTCTTAAATTGAAAGTCTGAACATGTTTTAAATAAACTAAAATGCATGAAAAATATAAAAGACTATTGCTAATTAAAATTAAAAGATTACTTTACATACTTTTCCCCCTTAGATATTCCATCTTTCCTTCAAAGAGAATCCCTCTGGGGCTCACTTTCTGTGAATACGGGTGTGGCAATCCCGAGGTATCCTAGCCCTTCAGGGAAACCTCTTCTTGGTAAGATGGGTGTCACGATCCTGGAACCCCAGTGATCTTTACTCGTTTTCTTGTCCTCTCTCTTAGCGGAAGCTTTTTCCTTCCCTTCTCTCTTTTTGTTTGCTGTGTGGGGAGACTTGTGTTGCTGGAAAGGAGGGTCCTGGTAGTTGAGGGGTGAGGTACTGTCCCCAACGCGCTGCTTTGGCGTCTGCTTCAGCTCAACGGGAGGCACCTTGTCCTTACGGGTGTCAATCGACTGGTCACTAGTCCTTGTATTAGTGGCTTGGGAATAAGCTCTTGGGAATACCTCTTTTGGGAAAGCTGATTGTAGGGCTTTCAGTTTCCATATAGACCCGGTTAATCCTGGTGCAGGATTCTGCATCCCCTTGTTGGGCTCCATGGTGGGTTGAGTTGCCGCATCCAAATCAAATTTTCTCCCAATATGGCTGCAATAAATCAACCTAGTTTGTCAGAAAATGTAATAAATTCAAATAAAAACTAGTGCAAATGCCAATTTAAATGCAAATATGCCTTTTGCTTGTTTTCTAGTAAACGGTGCACCAGGTAAACTACAAAAGCATATACAATCGAACATCAGTGAGCTAAAATATATTCGGTCCCCCCAAAAAAGTCCATTTCTATGACAACAATTTTCAACACGTAAGCACGTGTTTATTTGGCGCATGTTTGACTCTCTATTCTTATCCCTTAATGTATACAGACTGATATAGCAAATTAACTAAAACAAAGTTGATTCGCGTTAGTTTTAAATGTGAAGTGACAGTGTACCCATGGCTACTGATAAAGTTCATTTACACCACTGTATTTTATGTGAATTTCAGCAAAGAAGAAATAATACAGAAGCATGTAAAAATTTATTGAAAGTGTTTGGTTGAGGTACAGTTTATGATAGGACATGCAGAAGATGGTGGTTCGAAAAATTTGAAACAGTTAATTTCGACCTTTCTGATAAGCCACCATCTTTGATCGACGGCGATGTTGTTAAGACCATGTTGGAACAAGATCCTTTTTTGACAATATTGGAGATGGCAAAAAGGCTTAGTTCTGTTCAGCAAACCATTTTAGACCATATTCGGAAGATAGAATTGTGCGTGGAAATATTCCAAATGGGTGCCACATGAATTAAGTCGGAAGAATATGGATCATTGAGTCATCATATGCACATCTCTGCTTGCTCAGAACAAAATCAACCTCTTCTTGAACCAGATGATAACTAAGGATGAAAAGTGAATTACCTACGAAAACATTGTAAGAAAAAGGGCATATTTTGAGCCCGGAAAACCTAGCCCTTCCACTTTTAAACCAGATTTCACTCTGAATAAGAGAATATTGTGTATATGGTTGTACATTCCAGGACCAATACACATTATGAGCTTTTAAAACCGAACAAAAAGCTCAATTTGGAGAAGTATTATCTGCAACTGGATAATTTAAAGACAGCAATCCAAGAAAAGAGGCCGATAGGATGTTCGATAGGAAGGACATTATTCTGCATCATGAAAATGCCAGGCCATATGCTGCTTTGAAGACTATGCTGTCTTCATAGGGCCATATGCTGCTTTGTCAAAAAATTGCAGAACTAGGATGGGGAATTTTGTCGCATCCACCATATTCCCGGGACATAGCACTTTCCGACTCTCACTTGTTTTTGTCCTTAAAAATGTTTTTCAAGGGCAGCAGTTATCCATCTACATTTCATTCTGTCAAACTGCGCTCTGAGAGAAATCCCATTCTGTTTAAATCTTCTAACTCGGAGCCTTATACAAAGATCTAGTCCAGCCTGACGCAGTTATGATATGATAAGCCATCTGTCTTGCAAGTCATTAGGTGTCCTTTTGCTTCTCTCTAACAGAGTTTGGAAAGAGAAAATTTTCCCAAATGCATGGAGGAAGGCTATTATTATTCCAGTTGCTAAACCGGGCAAGGGTCCAAGGAATCCTTTGAACTACTGGCCTATCGCCCTTATTAGCTGTATCTGCAAACTGCTTGAAAAAAATGGTAAACAACCGTCTTGTCTACTACCTAGAAAAAAGTAAGATTATCTCTCCCTATGAGAGTAGTTTTCACAAGGGAAGATCAACTCTGGATAATATTCTTATTTTGGAAATATCAAAACAAAAATTGTTTGTAAAAAGAAACCTCATGGTGTTTGTATTTTTCGATATGAAGAACGCCTGCGATATAGCCTGGAGGTATGGCATACTTCGGGACCTTTATGGTAGTGGTTTGCGCTGTAACATTCCAATCTTCATCCAGAATTTTTTTAAGTCTAAAACATTCCAAATGAGGACTGGTACCACCTTGTCAGACGTGTTTTGTCAAAAAGAAGGTGTGTCTCAAGGTAGTGTCCTTAGTTTAGCTCTATTCAGCCTTACAATAAACTCACTTTTAAAAGAGCTTCCTCCTTTTGTCGTAGGTACTTTCTATGTTTCTATCTCATAATGAAGTACTGCAGAAATGTGATTTCCTTTGTTTTCTGTTGGGGTGTCCAAAAAGGCAAGATGGGACAGACCTTCAATATCTTTGATGAGCTCCTGGAGTGCTTCTATGAGGAGATTTCAACTAAAGCCTGCTTTTAAATACTTCAGTTCACTTTTAAATACTTCTAGCAAAAGTGTGCAGCTCCAACACGGCGGATAGAGCTATGAAGTCTACCTCTGGTTTTCAGAGCTTGAAGGATACCTGCTGCGTCTACTCTGAGAAACAATGAGGTGGCAGGCCTTAGTTTTGGAATTCTGTCCATTTGCGACTGCCAGAACTGAATCTTGTACACTTATCAGAAGGTGTTTCCATCATACTTGGATAGCTTTAGAGAGGTTCGAAAAGACATGTACAAATTTAAAGCTATCAGAAGTGTTTCCTCAAGTCACCATGGATTTCTTTAAGTTCACAACTTCCTTGGTGACAGCAGCAGAAATTCTGTAATCAATTTCTTGTTTAATAGCAAAAACTCTTTCTTCAATTTGTTGTTTGACAGTAGAAACTTTTTCTTTGATTTATGGTTCCACAGCAGACACCTTTTCTCTGATTTGCTATTCATCATCGGAAACTTCTAATTTTTCCAACTTTATTTTCCACTGTGTCTATTCTGCTTTTCATAGCTTTGAATTTGTTTTCTATTATGGGAGGATTTTTTTTGACGTGCTTTCATCTTTCTTAGTCCGCATTCGTGTCTTCTTTAAGAAACTTGACGGCCTCTTCCATCTTTCCTTGAACAGCATTCATCATTTCTTTAACGGATTGTTAATTCACTTTCATCTCTTCGTTAATGGACTTGATGGTCCCTTCCATTGCCCTTCTTTTGTTAGAATGCAGCAAAGGCTGTTATCAGCTGTGTTTGTTGCTCCTCCATTGCTCTTGTCACTTGCATTCAATCCTACTTTTGAAAGCAAAATTTTTTGCATGTGTATGGGTTCATAGTTCACAAAACTGATGATAGTTTAATAAAATTTGTTTTCCTAAAAGAATCACTCTGCAGTTCTGCAACTCTCTATAAAAGTGCTCGCACAGCTCTTCTCATTAGGATGAATAATGAGTAAACAATGTGTAATCACCATTCAAACTACTAGGAGCATTAAACACAGTGCAATGCAAAGCACATATAAAGAGTGAAGTTCGTATGGAGAGATCTCACTACATCGTAATCAACTCTGAACTGAAAAACTGAGAACTGATATTTTCTAAGGCATCAGTTCTCAGTTTTTCTTAAATAATTTTTCTCCAGCCGCTGAGAAATCTCTAATACTTTCCATCTCTCGAAATGGTACTATTTCATTTTTAGGACCGTAAAAAAAATTGCAGCGGAAATGTATGTGCAAAAGCGCCAAATCTAGCTAACGTGCCCATTTAACAGCGCGCCAAATCTAGTGTACGCGCTGATTTCAGATTGCATAAGTTTATATAGTTCTATATTTCTTAAGAAATAATATTGAAATACTAGTTTATTTTTTAAATCCTTTTTTGATATCCTATGGATTTAACAATTTGGGAATTGCCCATGACGAAAAGTCGGCAATAGAATTTTGGGTGAAGTGCAGAATCACCCACTGCTTGAGGCGTTTTTAAGAATTGCACATACTCGGTATCCATGTGCACATCGACCTATTTTCACTTAAAAAAAAAATTCCCAGAATTGCACAAAAATAGCACTGCGCACACCCTTGACTTTATTTATGTACACATCGACCTATTTTCACTTAAAAAGCAAAAGAAAATTGACAAAAATCCAATTGTTTATACCCTTGTAAAAAGCGGCAAACAAATAAGGGTGCGATTCTGGACTTTTTTTTCAAAGAAAAGGCATCATTCATTACAGAAAATTACGCTTGAACAACCAACAAGATGAAATTGTGCTTTAGCGATAAGTCTGCAGCGAAATAGCGATGCAGGCATCCATTCAGTTATGTTTAGCAATTTTTGTATAAATTATAATAAGGATCTGAAATAGTTATTTACTCTTATGCTTCCATTCAGTCACGTTTAGCCTTTTTTACATAAATTATAATAATAAAAAAGTATTATATGAAATTAACCTTTCATTTAAATTAAAACATCAATCTTAGATAGTTATTTACTATTATACTTCCTTTCTTGCATTAGGGTTGCCACAATTATTTTTGGCAGCACTGGCATCAACAATAGTTTGGCGATTTTTTACGGCCCTCAAAACCGAATACTATCCTCGAAATTACTGGAAGGCATATATGGTTAAAGTTACACATATGGGTTGGATACTCTCATAGGGATGAATTACAGTATCAACTGCAGTTATACAAGGACTGGACGTAAAGATTCCCAAGTTTGGCGATTTTACGAAAAATTTAGCAAAAAAAGGTTAGTCGCCAAAACCATTGTAAACTTGGCGTTATCTCACCAGTTTGTATTTGCCCCTGTAACCTCCCCCTTCTCTCTCTCTTATTCTTATTATTATTATTATTTTTTTTTTTTTTTTAGTCTCTCTCTCTTTTCAGAATTTTCATGTTACGTTATAAAAAATTCATAACAAAATTTTGCTTCTGCTTCTTAGCCTGTCCAGACTGCTGCATTGCTCTTTTCTTACAAGCCTGGTATAAAAAGTATAAGTTTTGAGGAATAAGCACAATTAGTATGCCAGGTTATTTGCGGCAGCATATCTTGAATGTAAATTTAAAATGAATGTATAAATCTGCCATGACTGCATCTTATTCCAGCTACAAGGCTGCTACATTTCTTCTTTATGAATCAACATCTACACAATCAGCTTTTCAAATTTTTTATATATATATAGTACTACTTTAATTGTCCGGACATATTTCAAGATGCATGTCTGTGTATTTAAAGGTATCATGACAAATATTTTTGACTTAACTGCTTGTAATGTTAAACCCTGGCAGTAATTTGCTCTCTGTTCCAACATCTTTGATATAATTTCTTCATTCTTGCATTCTGTTTTAAAGGCATACTATTGGGTAGTAATAAAAAAAGCTAGGAAATATGATAGCTATGTATTATTTAGAAATTTAGAAAGAAAAAAAATTCAGGTTACCATCATGGTTACTGCACAGCAACTGTAACAACTTATATTGAGATTGCATTGAACGTTATCAAAAACTCTACTGTAGCTTCCAACTTAAAAAAATTCAAAAATACCCATTTTTTATAGATTTATATATATATTTTTTGTAAATACAAAATTACAGATAAAATTAATATACCAAGATATCCTAGTGTTGTGTGAAAAATTTGTTAAATGGCTTCATATTTAAAATTCTATTACTATTGAATAACATTGTGAGCTGAATATCCTTAAGTTGTTCTTCAAATCCTAGGGAAGTGTTGCATATGCAAAAGCACTGGAAAAGTGTGGTTTGGTGTCATCAACTGAAAGTGCTCGTTTACTGTTTGGCCTATCACAGGTATTTTTTGGTACTTTAATTAAAAATTACAAAACTGGTGTATTTTTCATTAAATGTAATACCGTCAAAAGTCTTTAATCCGGACTCGTCGGGACTTCAGCGATTCCGGATTATCGGTTTTTCCGAGTTATAGACCATCAGTTTAAAATCTGGTAAGATGGCATGCAGAAATTATAAAATTAAAAATATAAAACCGTAATTTATGAAATAAAGAAGAATTATGATCTAAAGGGTATCAAAATTTAAAAAAAAAAAGCTTAATATTTATTTGTTTACTTTATTAAACATTTCTTTCAATGCGTGCATGTGTAAAGCATACATTACGCATAGTCGAAATTAGAAAATTGCAACCAGAAAACTATTTGATGTGTATTCGTGATATTTTATAATGACAAGGAATTGATTTAAATCATATCAAAGACGGAGTACATCGAGATGAAACACTACATTTAGTAAGGAATTATAAGCCGAATAAAATAAAAACATCTGCCCTGAAGATAAGGATAGTGCTGACAGATCAACTTCCAGTTCATTGCGTGCCGCGACGCCCCCCCCCCCCCAACCGCAGAGCAGCGTGAAATTGATAAACAGATTTCGAAATGGTTAGGGAAACAAAAGATATGCCTTTATCCATTTTTGCAGCAATTCCACCTTTTTGTTTGATGGACATCAAACATGCTTTCGCTTTGTAGGTCCTTTGGTAGCTCCAGGAATCGGAAATTCTTTTTGACATAATCGAAAGTTCAAGCTTACTTTTATAAAATTGCTCTAACAGTCTGCAAAAAATAATAAGCTGGATCCAGTTAGAAAATAACCACAATCTGCAACATTAACTGAAATAGGTAATTAGATAATTTTAGCTTAGCTTATACCGTCCGTTAGGCATTAAACGCGCATGCGTAAATGTATTATGCGCATGCGTAAATGCATAATGCGTTTACGCAGAAAGTTTGTAGCTTGAGGTCCGGATTATAGACTTTTGAATGTATAGTTGTGTATAAAATTCTATAGTTTACTTTAAGGGCAAGTTTTCTTAAATTCTGTAATAGATATACATTTCTGTTAGAAACAGTAATAATAATAATAATAAATAAAAAGCTGAATAATAGTATTTAAAAAATTCTAAGCATTTGTACTAATGGTTAATAATAAAAAATTCCATTTGAAATAAAATTAAGGCATGCTTTTAATGTCTTTGTTCAGTATCCTCTGACTCGTATAAGTCCTGCTAAAGTGGTTAAAACCATTGGTCATAACTAGTGGTTTTAACTGCTTCGGCAGAAATTGGTACAGCAAAATATTTTACTGGTTATAACCAGTTAAAGTTTGAGTTATGCCAATTCTGGTACTTAAGTATTATTACAATTGCCTTAGTGTAAGTTGCCAAACTCTAGCAGCTGTGTACATAACCGTTCTTCAAGCAGCCATGTTCATAACAATCCTTCAATCAAAAACAATGCCACCATTTTCATTGCCATTCTTTTCATTCTATTCTAAATTCCAGTAGTTTTTATAAATATGTCATGATATTGTAGAGTTTTGTATTTTTTGGTAACATAAACTAGTGAGCTCTAAAATGACTGTGAAGAATTATTTTCAGACCTTTATTTATTCACATATAGTTAAACAAATCGCCTACTTGAGCTTACATAAAGCCAATACTTATGGTTTAACTCAAACCGGAAATTTTTAACTTGAAATAAAACATACTTAAACTAGCCGAACAGCTCACAGGATAATTTAATGCACAGGAAGGCTCTGACTCTTAGAAGTCCACCGGAAATTTTTGCCTAATGGCTAGAAGCGTCCAGTGCCAGAGAATCAAATTGGTAGTACACTGAAGTGACAAAAGTCATGGGATAGCAATATGCAAATATACAGATGGCAGTAGTATCGCATAGAAAATGTATAAATGCAAAGTGCTTTGGCAGGGCTTTCATTTGTGTTCAAGTTATTCATGTGAAGAGGCTTTGACGTGATTATGGCCGCACGACGAGAATTAACAAACTTTGAATGCGAAATGGTAGTTGGAGCTAGACGCATGGGTCATTCCATTTCGGATATTGTTAGGGAATTCAACATTCTGAGATCCACAGTGTCAAGAGTGTGTCGAGAGTATCTAATTTCAGGCATAACATCCCACCATGGACAGCGTAGTGGCCGACCACCTGCACTTAACGACCGAGACCGGCGACGTCCACGTAGAGTTGTCAATGTTCACAGACAAGCAACACTGCGTCAAATAACCGCAGAAATCAATGTGGGACGTACGAGGGATGTGTCTGATAGGACAGTGCGGCGAAATTTGTCTTCCTTGGGCTATGCCAGCAGAAGATCGACTCGAGTGCCTTTACTGACAGCACGACATCGCCTGCAGCGACTCTCGTGGACTCGTGAGCATATCGGTTGGTCCCTAAACGAATGGAAAACCGTGGCTTGGTCAGATGAGTCACGATTTCAGTTGGTAAGAGCTGATGGTAGGGTTCGAGTGTGGCGCAGACCCCACGAAGCCATGGACCCGAGTTGTCAACAAGGCACTGTTCAAGCTGGTGGTGGTTCCATAATGTTCTGGGCTGTTTTTACATGGCATGGACTAGGTCCTCTGGTGCAACTGAACCGATCATTGACTGGAAATGGATACCTTCAGCTACTTGGAGATCACTTACAGCCATTCATGGACTTCACGTACTCAAACAACGATGGGATTTTTATGGATGACAATGCGCCATGTCACCGGGCCATAATTGTTCGCAATTGGTTAGAAGAACGTTCTGGACAATTCCAGCGAATGATCTGGCCACCTAGATCGCCCGACATGAATCCCATCGAACATTTATAGGACATCATCGAGAGGTCAGTTCGTGCCCAAAACCCTGCGCCGTCAACACTTTCACAATTATGGACGTCTATAGAGGCAGCATGGTTCAATATTCCTGCAGGGGACTTCCAACGATTTGTTGAGTCCATGCCACGTTGAGTTGCTGCACTTCGCCGGGCAAAAGGAGGACCGACAAAATATTAGGAGGTATCCCATGACTTTTGTCACTCCAGTGTAGTTCAAAGTAACAACATGGCCTACAAGCAGGCATGACATGCTCTAAAATCGCCTTCCAAAAGCTTCACTTAAGTAGCATTTCTTTCTACCTATCATTTTGAATTTGAATACACGTGCCTTATCTGATTAACATTCTGGCAGGAAAGCGTGGGTGAAAATGAGACAGAAAATGAAGTTGCTTTAACCAAAAATAAACTGTTAGTTAAACTAAACAAATCCCCACAATATTTTTTACTTAAATTCAATTTTAAAATATCCTTTAAAGAATGTGCTAGCAATAGAAGGAACTAGAATAAAATTTCTGTGGAAATAAAGCTTTTGCCCACAAAATCATTAAAGTGAACAATGATAGGATGTGTTCAATTGATATCTGGTTGCTGAGTTTTCACAATTCAAAATGATGTTTTTTAATTGAAAAAGAGATCACTGTGTACATGGGGAAGACACAATGCTAAAAAATTAAAGAAGGATTTCCAAAAACATGCAAGTGAATGCATTATATAATCCTTATTTAATAATTAAAATTTGTGTTTTAAATTTTTCTAATGCATTCTAATTTTTGCAATAAATATGGTTAGTTTGTAAATGTACTTTTAAATGAATGAATTTTTAAAAAAAAAGAGATGTGAAAATCTCCAACTTGCACCCGATAATTAAATTTTATCTTTTTATCTGTGAAAATATTAGTGTTTTGCTTTAACCCAAATGTATCCCAGTTTCTGCCATAAAAGTAGCAGTAACTGTCATAATCTTATTGGAAGCCTTTTTGTATTATGTTAAGTAGTACAGAAAAACGTACAGTCAAAAGTCGTTAATTCGGACACCCATAATCCGGATCTCAAAGCTACAAACTTTCTGCGCATGCATCGGTTGACGCATGCACGTAAGACCTTTACGGCTGCGAATATGCGTGTGCGCGTGCGCAAAATATGTTTACGAATGCGCGTTTAATGTATAACAACGGTATAAGCTAAGCTAAAATTATCTAATTTCAGTTAATGTTGCAGATTGCGTGGTTCCTTAATCTTCGAATTGGATTCGGCTTATTATTTTTTGCAGACTGTTAGAGCAATTTTATAAAAGTAAGCTTGAACTTTCGATTATGTCAAATAGAATTTCTGATATATATTTACTAATATGTAAAGGATCTACAAAGCGAAAGTATGTTTCGAAGTCCATTAAACAAAAAGTGGAATTGCTGCAAAAAATGGATAAAGGCATATCCTTTGTTTATCTAAATTTTAACGTTTGTTTATCTAAACTTTGTTTATCTTTAACGCTGTGGGCGCAATGAATTGGAAGTTGATCTGTCAGCACTATCCTTATCTTCAGGGCAGATGTTTTTATTTTATTTGGCTTATAATTCCTTACTAAATGTAGTATTTCATCTCGATGTACTCCGTCTTTGATATGATTTAAATCAAATTCCTCGTCATTATAATTCGCTTCCGATAGCGAAGAAAGTGACAGAGGTTATTGAAAACGAAAAAATTTCGATTGACAAATTAGTCGGTATTCTCGACACAGCAATTATAGGACTTGAACAGCGGAACTTTGTAACTGAACAAGAAATTATGTCTGTTTATAGAATTAAAGAGAATGTATTATCACATAAAAACGAAGCAACTTAAACAACTTACATTGAAAGAAATGTTTAATAAAGTAAACAAATAAATATTAAGCTTTTTTTTTTTTTTTTTTTTTTTTTTTGTAAATTTTGATACCCTTTAGATCATAATTGTTCTTTATTTCATAAATTACGGTTTCATATTTTTAATTTTATAATTTCTGCATGCCATCTTACCAGATTTAAACTGATGATCTATAATCCGGAGAAAATCGCCGAAGTCCCGATGAGTCCGGATTAACGACTTTTGACTGTATTTCAAAATTAGTTAAGTTCAACCAACATTTGCAGTATTTATTCAAAAGTATTGTAGCTTCT